ATGGTCTATGTGCATCAATTCGAACGGAAATATGGGAGAAGAGCTTTCAGATTGTGATTGTCCTTCAAACTTATTTGCCGATGAGTTTGCAAATAAGCAAGTAATACAATTTTTCAAATAATCACGAATACGTTTACGCATATTAGGAAACCAATAGGAACCATGTATTCCGCGAAAAGTTTTTTTCAAATCCACAGTGCGTCATGTCGTCATGGTACATTTTTGGTATTATGTTATTTATCATTGAATCTGGTATCGCGAAGCACGATTTTCTCCTTTTCGATATATTAGACCATCAATCATCTCAAATTTATCGTTATCACCGAATTCTAAATTGTTTACTATCTCTTTTAATTGCATGTCTTGCAATTGTCGAAATTCTAACTCGCGCTCTAGGACTAGTACTTCCAGATAACATACTTGTCGATTAAGAGCGTCTACATGTGCCATTCTTTTTCCGGGGCAACTTCAAAGTCATAATTTTGTAATAATAATGTCCACTGTGCTATTTGCGGGTTGAGATTAGCTTCATTTATAGCGTACCCTGCTAGAAATATCGGATTAAAGTCGATAAAAAAAATTTAATCGATTTAACATGTGAATCCTTCACCCAATTTTTACCATAGGAATGTATTAAATTTTCATGTTGCATTAAACTTTATTGAACTCGATTAAAATATGTCGGATTAAATAGGATAGAAATCAGCGAATTATTTAATCGACTTAAATCGATTTTAATAATTTTATGACAAAAAGTACATTACACTAGATTAAACTAAGGAATCCCTGATAAACAATACAATTCAAGTCGATTAAAAATTATATTGAATTGAATGGCGAATTTTAACATTGATTTCTACATTATAGAACTTAATCGACTTTAATTGTAAAAATAACTTTTAATAGCTTTTAGTCCGTTTGTTCAACTAACTTATCGGGTTTAATCGGCTTTTTCGAATTAAACGATAACAATCGCTTTTAACCCATTTATATAAGTAACAAATCGAGTTTAATCGACTTTAACGAAATTGTTTCCGTAGAACGATATTAATAAAAACTTAAACATATTTTAAACCCTTGAAAATAAAGTACAGGTGCCACCGAATTAAAACAAATTAGTGAAACTTGAGTAAAAAATTTTTTATTCATTTTTTTTTGTACAAAGCTTAGAAAATTAAAAGATTGAAAGCAATGGGTTAATTTTCGAATTTAGAATTTTTGTAAAGAAAAATTAGGGACCGATTTCATGACATGACTTTATAATGTATTTGAATTATATCAAAGTAATATTCTAATAACCTCACATTTTGTAACCATGCAATAAAAAAGTTGTGGAGATCCAATTGCACGTTGAGGAAAATGCACAATTAAAAATATAGAAACTTTTGGTAGATGTGCCACATACTGTAAGTGCATTTATAAAAATACTGTTTATCACAGTCTATGTAATAATCGCGCGAAAACAACAGATGACACAGTTGTGAGACTAAAAACGGGTCAATTTTGTAGGATAAATGATATTATTTCATATAATAACAAATGTTTCCTTTCATTATCATTATTTTCGATTTTTGAAGATTTACCTTTTAAAGGTGTTTCTTATTTGTTTTTGGTACAAAGTGAAAATGTGGAAAATAGATTATTAAAACCAATAGATGCCGTGGAACAAAAAGTTGCTATTATTGATAGTAAAACTGGTAGATACTTAAGTTTATTTTGTAACAATATTGAAATTCAATAATAAAAAAAGAAACAAATATTAAAAATTTGATGAAATTTCATTTATTACCCTTCAAAAATAATGTAATATATGACAATCAACATAAATAGTTTAAATAATATAGTAATTGAAATTGTATACTTAAATTGTATACTTAAATTGTATACTTAAATGTACTGTAAATTTATTCAAAATTATACACTGTTGTATAATGTAGGTAAAGACGAAAAGTTTTACAATCTATTATTGGATTGATTGCATTTCAATTCACTTGCCATAAAAGTCGATTAAAATACATGACAATTATTGTCATTAAAGTTCATTCAATTAGAAGTTATAAAAACCTGTAAAATCGGGTTGATTTGAACCACAATATGTAGCAATATAGTCGATAAAAAAGCATTTCGGATTAAAATGTGTTAAAGTACATTTAATATTTGTATAAAACTCCCCGATAGACATCGATTAAATTTGATTACAAAGAGTGTGTCTAAAAGTCGATTACAATATTTGACAATCATTGGCATTAAAGTCGATAAAACAGTGATTGCGATTGAAATGCATTAAAGTCTATTAAATATTTGTATAAAACATCCCGATAGAAATCGATTGTATTTGATTACAAAAGTGTGTCTAAAAGTCGATTAAAATATTTGACAAATTGGCATTAAAGTCGATAAAACAGTGATTGCGATTGAAATGTATTAAAATCTAGTTAATATTTGTACAAAATTTCCTGATAAAAATGTATTCGATTTTAATTAGTAATATTAGCATAGGAGTCGACAAAATTCAATTACATTTATTAATATTAAATTCTATTAAACTATCAAAGGATTAAAGTCGATAAGGTTCGATTAATTCTTACTGTAAATTTTCGTACTAAAAGACATTAAAAATCTTTGTCATCTAAAGTCAATTCATATCGATTAAAATTAATACTCATTAGTGATATTGAAGACGATAAACAAGAAAAACGATTGAAATCGATTAAATTTTAATCGACATTTTTGGAAACATCGATTAAATTGATCAAAGTATATTAAAGTCGATTAATTTTCAATTCACTTTTATCGACTTTAATTCAATATTTCCAGCAGGGTAGACTAATGCATTGCAATCCGTTATTATCGTGAAATTTATGCCATAGGTAAATGTGAAACCGTTCGACCGCGCGTACTATGGCATCTCTAATTCAAAACTGATAGCGTGTTTCTGTTTGATTCGTTGCTCGACTAAAGAAGGCTTTCGGCGCCCATTTCGAATTTGCCTGTTTTTGTAGTAATATTGCGCCGAGCCCTTGAGAGTTCGCATCCGTATGTAAATAATTCCATGGGAGCTGCAAAGTTATATAAATGAAGTACTGGATACGCAGTCAATCCTTCTTCAATGTATCAAAAGTTGTGATACAATCCTCATCGAATCTAAATTCCACCGACTTTTTTAACAAATTATGCAATGGTCTAGCTTTTATGGCGATATTTTGTATGAATTTACGGAAGTAACTGGTTAAGCCTAAAAAGCGTTGTAATTGGTGTACGTTTTTCGGAATTGGAAAATTTTTAACAGCTTCCGTATGCCGATCGCTCAATGTATTATAAGTTGATTGTGCGAAATTATATATCCTAAGAACTTCACTTTTTTTTTTTTAAATTACACTTAACCAGATTCAATTCGAAACTGTATTTACGAAGCGTTAACAACTTTCTTTAAAACATTCAAATTTTCTTCAACTGAACTTGATACTATTAAAATATCGTCTATATACAGGGTGTATCAGACTACCCGTACCAACCAAATATCTCAAAAACCGAGAACGGCAAACAAAAATGTTTCCTACAAAAGTTGTAGAGTTTTGAGTAACGCATTACATAGTAATATTAGTATATCCTTGAATAGCGTAAAGATCACCTTCAATTTCCTAAATGGAACCTACTATTTTTCATTGCATATTCTTGTAGCTTATCTCGAGAGTTTTCCAAAACACTATAATAAATTATTTTTTCATGAAGTACTTTTCGAGTTATAAAGCTTGAAATCATTTCTTAATTTTACATAAACCATAAAATATCTTGTAAAATATTCATTTTTCGATTATTTTACCTTAATACTTTTATGTACAAAATAATGAGAGGAATTAATTGGTGTAAAGAAAACATACAGTTGTTTTTAAGAAAAAATATGGAATTGTTAATTGCAAATTACATATCGAAACCCTACAACTTTTGTAGGAAACATTTTTGTCTGTCGTTTTCGGTTTTTGAGATAATCGGCTGGCACAGGTGGTTTAATACACTCTGTATACAAGGATTTTATTCTCTCTAATAAAAGGCTCTAATATTTGAACCACGCGTTTTTGGAATTCCGCAGGTGACTCCGAGTAATCAAAGGGAAGCCGCACATACTCAAACTGTCCGTCGGGCGTCGCAAACGAGAAATATTTCGTGTGTTCCGGATTTACTTTTATTTGATGAAACCCATCTTTTAAATCTAATAATGAATATACTCGCTTGTCGCTCAATCTCGCAAGGCAATTCTCTATGAGAGGGAACGGATATTTCTGCTTAATTACACGCGCGTTTAATGGTCGCAAATCGATGCAGAGTCTCAGTTTGCCATTTTTTTTTTCTTACCGGCACAATTCTTGCGCAATACAGCGAGATATTTGTTTTGATAATGCCGCGTTCTAATAAATTGTCTGTTATTTCGCGAATCTGTTCGCGTTCTTTTAAAGCGAATTTTCGTGGCGCGTACGTATACGTGGAACTATCTTTCAAATTATACGTACACTGTAGTCATCATTATTATGTCTTTGAGACGCTGTTTTTCATTTTTATCAAAATCTATCTCGCAATCATCTATTATTGATTCCATACTTATATTAGTAAAACAAACCATTTGCAATAAAGGTTGTGTGAACGTGTCCGCGTTTACTTTAGACGATCGAAAGATTAATGTTAGGTCATGTTGTTCAATAAAATCGCAACCGATTATTAAATCTAAGTCTGAGAAGTCTGATTTAACCACGTTTAATGTAATATCAAAAATACGATCCGGGAATTCTCTGAATTCAATTCTAGACCTTTCTTTACCGAGAACATTGATCGGAATTTTAGGTAACGCGTTAAACTTCCGATCGACTGGATCCAAAGAGTCAATTTTTATTTTAAACATTTTATTAAAATTCTTTAAATTATTATAATAAACGATGCCGGACTTCCAGTATCAATCAACGCATTAAGATTATTATTTATACTGTTAATACTATTTACAACGACTATAGGAGAAAAAAGATAAAACTTATCATTTTTGGGCTTCACAACCGCTACCATCGCTGGCTGCGACGAGAACGATGCTTTAGCCGAAGATGCAGTTGTCAACGTAGTTTGCTCTTTTCTCTTCAAAGCCGTGCAATTCGCTTTCCAATGGCCCTTCTTTTTGCAGTAGTTGCACGTACTCTCCGTCGGCTTACCATCGTGCCTTGTTGCTTTGCCGTCGGTTGCCTTGAGACCGTCCCTATTGCGTCACCCTTGCTCGGATGCTGATTCTTCTTATCAATATCACTCATCCCGAAGGTAATTCTTCTCATTGCTTCCAATTGATCCACCGAATGTGTAGGCAGAGTCAGTGCTGTTGCACGCAGCGAATGCTGCTGGATACCTCCAATGATAAGATTGACGGCGTCGGTCGTAGGGATGTTCAAACGATGAATTAACGACAATTTATCGATCACATATTGATCGAATGATTCATTCGATGAATTCCATTTTCGAGCTTCAATACGCTGCATCGGGGCCGTGAATGAGATGCGACGATCGAACATCTGGATCAGCGCTTGTCTGAGCGCAGGCCACGACTCTAGAACTTGACCAGATTGCATCTCATACCATCGTTTGGCCAACTTGGTTAACTTACTGGAAGCTATTAATAAAGTTACGTCGTCGGACGTTCGATGCACTTGAGCAACTCTATCTACTCGTTGTTTCGAAATTTGTATATTTTCTTCGTCCGTGTCACCAAATTCTGGAATTTGCGGCGATAACAATGAGACGACTTGCGCCGACGAAGTGCTGATTGTCGGGGAACGCGGAGATTCCTCAATTTTTCTTTCCTGCGGTGTATTACTTTGAATAGAAGCTTCTCTTCGAGAGAGAGCTCTAATTTCTTCCAACATTTGCCGTTGCTGCTCCATAAACACACCTAGTGTTATAGCAATACGATCCAGAGGTCCCTGTTGCCTTGGAATATCAGTAGCTGGTGCCGTCGCTTGATGCGACGGGCCTGGGAGAACTGCTTGACTACTCTCTCTTCTTGAGCGAACACCCTGAGTTCATGAACGCTACGTCGACAGAAGCATTTCTTCTGATGGATTATTCCGTGCAAAATGGCTCATGATCGCCTCAATTATCAATTCTCGATCGGACGAGGCTGCCACCGGTAGTTGATAGCGCAATGCTTATTGCTTGGCCTCTTCCAAGATCATCGCCTCAAGTCATTCTCGCTGCATTATTATATTCTAAGACGACTTGGCTCTTGTCCCAACCATATATGGTAACTCAGTCGATAATTAATACACTCAGTGTATCCACACTTGAATATTATCATCACGTATATAACGCGCGCGCCAGAAAAACAGCGACAGGTGACTTTCGAAATGCATAGATTCATCCAAAACATCGGCTTGCCTCGTTCAAATTTCAATAGTAACGTCGATACATATACCGCTTCTGATATATTGAACTAAAGATTATTCTACAGCTTTGTCAGGAAATAAATAAATATTCAAATAGTGTGTCTTCTTCTTGATTAATATTGAATTGTTCAATAATTACACTGTCGTCAAAATTATTTATTTATGCAATGTTCGAGTTATCACTAACAAACAATTCATGGCGGAGGATAAACGCTCAGAGATAGACGAAGTCGTAAAATCAATTTCTCGTAACCGCACGCTAGCCGCTGGCCAACAAAGGCCAGCAGCCTGTACAAAGTCCGAAGAGAATCTTTTCCTTTTCTAATTTTCGTGTATGCGCGAAGACTTTTGAATATCGAATGTCCTCCGATCCGTTATCGGCGTTTAAACGATCCCAGTTCGTAGATCGATGAGAGGGTGAATAAACGGGGATAGACGGTCGATCAATTCGATGTCGCTTCTTACAGCGCGGATTCAAAATTCTTACAATATCATGTGCTGTTAAGGAAGCGATATCAAAAATAAAGTTATTCACATAGATGTAAGATATTGTAAATATTTATGCAACCTAACCTCCGAATATATTTGAAATTCAATGATAAATAAAACTTTGTAATAAATATAATTTTGTTTCTTCATATATATACACAGTCGAATATAATATTTATGACAAAAATTCGATTTAATTGCATTCAATCCGATTTTATTTTCATCCGAAAAATCTTAGAATTTCAAATTAAAACAAATTACTGTTGCTTACACAAAAATTGGATTCTTATTGCATTAAAATCGATTTAGTTATTATCTCTGAAATCGGTGAATTTTGGAGTGTTTACGACAATTAATCGGATCTCTGATCGGACTGAGCAGTGGTACTCAGCGATAGACTTCCTAAATTTCCCTAGACTCCGGATCAATGATGTGTCTCTGAAGTAATCGAATTAGATTAACAGTCATCGAAAGAAATTGCGGTCAAGTTCATCGAAAAAATTGTGAAAAACATCATAAGAAATTATAGAAGATACTTTATTATTCTTTTAATTAATATATCTTTATTTATCAAATATATATTAATAAACAAATGTATTTTACTGGAATAAGATGTTTTCTATAAAATAAGAATAAGTTGTTAATCTAATTTGATTACTTCAGAGATACATCATTGATCCGGATTAGTCTAGGGAAATTTAGAAAGTCTATCGCTGAGTACCACTGTTCAGTCCGATCAAAGATCCGATTAATTGTCGTAAACACCCTTGGATTAAACCGGATTACAATCAACTCAATTACTAAAAATTGCATATTATTATAACGAATTGAAATTGCATACTAGGCGGATTATTTTGGATTATACAATCCATCTGATTATTCGTGTTCATTTAGATTGTTGACAACAATATGGATTAAAATGTAATGATGTCGGACTGAAATAATTCACGAAGCCGATATTAAAACCGATTGCAATTTGTTCGGAATTAAAATCGATTACTTTTTAATCCGGGCGCGGATTAAAACATAATCCGTTTTAATCGGTTTTAATCGACCATTTTCGGCAGGGTATTAATACTCAGGATGAATTGATATAACACTTTTATTTTCTTCCTTTTCTTTTAGATTCATTTAATAAAAGCAATTTTTCTTCATCGAATCCAGATGCAAATAGTGATGAAATATTCTTCCTATTAGAATGTTCAGAGACATTATCAAAAAATAAAACAATTATTTCAGCAGCATATTCAAAATCTTCCCCTCCCAGAGAAATTTCATTCTGAACTAGATCGAAAATTAATATCCCCAGCTTTGTCTCTTGATTCTGCATCAGACATATAATGCACCAAAAAAATTTTAAAAACAAATTAAAAACACATCCTCAACAGATAAGATCCCAGAAAACAATATGTAATCAAAAAGATTTCTAAAAGATATCTTATTTCTGAACCTGATAACTTAAAAAGGCTTCTAAAAGATCATATAAAGATATTAGAATGTTATCTAATGCGCCGTTTTTTGAAGACAGAAAGATATCACGAAAATGATGTCAAAAAGATTTCTTAAAATGAACGTCTTTAAGATATCTAAATTATGTCAACATATAGAGTTCTTATTTATGATGTCTAAAAGAGATCTAACATATGTTAACATATGAATTTCTGATTCGAGATAGAATTCTATTTATAATTTTATGCGTTATATGTTTTAATGTATACGCTTATTCCGATATATATTTTATTTTGTATGTATTTTACGTTATATTTAAATATTTTCTGTATTACGATACATAAAATTTATAACTAGAATTCTGTCTTGAATTATTATTATAAATTATGTAAAATAAGTATTAGGGAATAAATCATCTTAAACATTTTTATATTTATTATTTTTATTATTGCACAAAAATAAAAATAATCGATTTAAAAATCGATTTAAAAAACTTAATATTTTTAATAATAAACTTAATATTTTTAATAATACTTAATATCTTTAATAATATATTAAATATTTTAATATTTAATATATTTTTCAAAATCAGGAACGAGGAGACATTATAAACTTTAAACTTAAAATATGAAAGAACTTAAAATATGAAAGAAAACAATTGCTTAACACAAAAATAGTTTCTATAATAACAGAATTGATAAAACCCTTCTGAAAAAAAATCCTGGATACGTCCATGTCATAATTATATTAAGTTATTATTATTATTATATAATATATTATTATAAAAGTATTAATCATCCACTGATTCATTTTGAATTTCTTCTTTTTGTCTTCGATTTATTCGATCGCCGGCATGTTGCAACCATGATTTTAATACTTTTTGCACATTGGCGATAGAAATATTCCGATCAGTAACGAGAGTTTCTGAAAAAAATTTCAATATGTTTTAACAATTCGTTCGTGAACAAAATTTTAGCAGAAATTTTATTAAATTCTGTGGGTCTCTTTTTTAATAATTAAACCCTTTACACTATTCATTTCTGTCTTTTTTATTGTAAAAGAAAGACAAAAGAAAATTAGCGCAAAGTACAGCTAAACAGACATCGACGTTATATTTAGCTGTACTTTGCAGACTTTTGTGCTTGTAAAACACGGGTTTAATGAGAACACAAATAATACCGGTCTTGCAGCCAAACTGTGATCAATTTTGTTAGTAATTTGTTGTTATTTTGCTAACATTTTATTAATGGGACAAACAAATTACTAAAAATGTATTGATTTAGTCATACAGAACATAAATATAAAACATTTTGAAATAAAGAAACGTTTATATACGATATTATAAGTAGATTAGTAAGAAACTAACATATATATGTACGTACAATTAATACGATCAAAAGTGACTAAGAAGATTAGAATGTTGAATAATATGAGAACGTCTAAAATGTTTAAAAAAGTTGATAAAAACTATATGTGATTTGATAGAATAATTTTTAAGTTATTATTGATAATAGTTAAAATAATTCGGCAGATAATAAATGTTTACAACTTTTTATCATATTATAATTATCAAACTCGATAAAACATATTCGTAAATTACTATAAACATTGGTTATTGTGTTCCAAAATTCAATGTCAGTGCTAAAAATCTATAGTACACGTGTGTGTGTGTGTGTGTGTGTGTGTGTGTGTGTGTGTATGTATGTGTGTAATGTAAACTAGATTTTTAGCACCGGCAATGAATTTTGGAACTTAGCCATTGTAACTGTACGTGATAGAGTAATATGAAAAAAAGTAGTAAAGGAATATATTAATATATAAATAAAAATATGTCAAACTATATTTTTTCTTATATTGAAATTATAAAGAATTTTTTCTTCTTTTCACAAATGAAATGTGTGTTTTAATAGAACATAAAACTGAAATAATTTTAGAAAATTGTCATTGTAAAAATGGAGTGTAAACAAAAAATTATTTTAATATTTCCAGAAAAAGAAATAGGAAATTAACCATACCAATAATGAGATTGATGAATTTCATATTCTGAGTTTCAATCTTATTTTTTTTATTAGTTCAAGTCATTTGGTAAGCTAACGTGTCAGCTATTGTTAAACGCATCGCGTTTCGTACATGTTTATGTGGGGTTATACCTCCTATTGTCCGAATCATTCTTTGCTGTAAAAAATATAAAATATGCTTGTGTTGCAATTTATTATTATTATCTTGGTAGTATCGATAATTTTTAAATATATTCTTTACTACTATATTTACTACTATTAAACTGGCACATTTATAAATAAAAATCACAAAAAGTTAGTAATCAGCATTTCCTTAGAAATTATTTTTATATTAGATTCTTCTATTTTAAATTTTTGTACGTTTTGGTATCAAATTTTTTCAAAGCAATATTCTTATATTATGACATAAAATTCTAATTGATTTTTAAAATAGTACAAAAATAACAGCATTTAAAACAATAAAATTTTTATTTAAAACATTAGTTTTACTCTTAATACTTTTATCATGCGCTATTACTGTCGCTTGTACAAAATTAAAGAACGTTTTACACGTAAAATAATGAATGTGCATTTGATGTGGATTTGAATCTAAAAGTATTTGTCGTATTCCTATCACAGTACGTAAAATCGTTGTAATATCGTTCCGACAAACTCCTATTTAGAAACAATTGCAATATAAATAATGATATAAGTAATGATAAGTAATTTGTCTTTCGGTTTATAAGTAATGATCGAGTTCACAATTGTTAGGAAATAATTCTGCTATTTCTACTAGTAAATGTATGATTGCTAATATACATTAATTACATTTGCAAAAGTGATATTTAACATCCTTTAGGATATTATTCTAATAAACAAGTATAATTGTATTTTCCATTATCATTATTATTTGATATACATGCATTGTTTATTATAATCAATTTCGATTAGTTGATCAAAATTTGAAGATAGTTAATATTTCAGAAGTATTATTTTGTTTTCAAGATTTTTGTGAAAAATTTTCATTTTATCATTTGATCATTACATAATATAAATAAGATAATATAATCCATATAATGGAGAAAAACAGAAATTAATGTTGTGATAAAACCATGTTATGATATTTATTATCTAATTATTGTGGATCAATCATTTATTATTGATAATAATAATAATAGTTTTTAAAATAGAATAACTGACACATCACAATAATAAAAATAAATTTAAAGAAAAATACTGTAAGATTATAAAAGAGAGTTATGACATTAATTTTTAGTTTTTGTTTTATCGAATATAAGTGGGTTTTTACTTTATTGAAACTTACTGCAACATTCTTGATGATTATCTATTTTTTGCTTTTGGCCGGTATTTTGTGATGTCTGCATTTCATGATGACTGCCTGATTTTTGTTCCTTGTCTGTTTCTGTATTTCGATCATTTAGATGTAATTTTTGGATATTATTTTCACTATTCCATGATTGATTCTTGCCATTTTTTTTATTATGTAAGATTCCAACAGGTAATGGTATATCTGTTTAAAAATAAGATTAAAATAAGATTTAAGTAGATTAAAAATTTATTATAAAATAAAATGTTATAGAAATAAAATATTATAGAAAGAATATATAAATATTCTAGAAAGAAAAGAGTAAGCATATGTACAACGAAAGGTACAATTTTATATTTTACATATAAAAAACTCACTTGTTACAACAATATTTTTGATTGTTGGTTTTTCTGACGCTTTTGATTTTGATTCAGTTTTCGTGATGCATAAAGGATCCCACAGGGCACAAAGACGTTTAAAAGACGACTAAAACTAGATATATTTTCGTCAAAAACGTCTTTTAGTTAGAGACAATAGTCGACGAAAAGTCGACGAAAAGTCGACTAAAAGTCGGTTCATGACCCGAATTTAATCACTAATCTATCAAGCCAAAAGATGACTAAAAGATGACTAAAAGACGACTAAATCTGTACATTTTCGGTCGTCTTTAAGACATCTTTTTATTAGGTTTTTAAAGACTTATTTAAGACATCTTTTAGTCGTCTTTTAGACATAATTTAATCGTCTTTTCGTCGACTATATTATTAGACTAAAAGATGTCTTAATTTGAATAAAAATATGTCGAGTTTTAGTCATTTTTGAAACTGCTTTGTACTATATGGATATTAAGTGAGGATAGATACCCTAGTAGCACAGCACATTGGCAATCCATTGGCTAAATATTGGTTTTATTGGGAATGTCTTGGCCAATATTAACCAATGCGAAGCTAATATTGGTTACTAACGAAATGCAAGTGTACTGCCAATATTGCAGTGCCCATGATGACACCAATATTGGTTATCAATTAAACGTAAGTGTGCTGCCAATATTGTTACACCCATGGTAATACTAATATTGGTTATAAAATAAATATAGCGCCAATATCTTACATCCATGATGACGCCAATATTGGTTATCAATTAAATGTAAATGTACTGCCAATATCGTTATCCATGCTAATATTAATGGAATTAATAGAGAATTTCGAAATTCCATTTTAATGGATACTCCTTACACACGTATTTGAATCAAATAATCGCGTCTCATTATAATCGATGAATTACGTCATAATGACGTGGCAACTGAGGATTGCTCCAGCGTTGTCACGTGACTATAACCGACCGGGGCCGGCCGGGCTCGTGCTGCCTGCACGAGCTGGGACTGTCCGGGACTTGTTCACTCGTGTTCCGGCCATGCTAAACACATTATAAGTGCGTATTAGTTGATCTTTTCTTTAGTGAAGTGTTCTTCTGTGTGTTTTAGACGTGAACGTAAATTGACATATTAACGCAAAGCCCATTATTATTTTATCGTTTGTGCTTTTATCGTTTGTGATTTTATTATTTTATTAATAGGTTGTCTGAGAAATTATATTATAGAGGAAGAGAGAGAGAGGGGGGGGAGGGAGGGAGAGAGAGGGAGAGGGAGAGAGAGAGAGGGAGGGAGGGGGGAGAGAGAGGGAGGGAGGGAGGGAGGGAGAAGAAGACTCGCAATCTTGCAACAAAGGTAAAAATTAATCTCTTATTCCTATTCAGATTTATTGTTCCTAATAGCATATATAGATTTTCAGAATGTTTGGAGGCTATCTCAAAAGTATATTGCATTCTCAGAATATTCTTGATATACATACAATTTGTTGAGAGTACATATACTAAAATTGTAAGAATACTTTTATGTCTGGTTTTTTTACTTTTCAATAGAGAAGTGAGATTGTCTTCTAGTATGTAATAAGAATAAATAATACATATATTTATAGAATATTGTGAGTTAAGAATACGTCTGTAGTTTTTAATATTATATTAGGATATTATATATATATATATATATATATATATATATATATATATATATATACAGGGTGAGGCATCTAAAACAGGCCACCTGAATAACTCCGTTGGTAAGCCGAATACAAAAAAATTGTTCAGACAAAAGTTGTATGGTTTCAAGGGGGACATATGATGGTGTCATTAGTTTAATCTTGAAGAGCCACCCGAAGGTCACGTGAAGGTCAGCTCCAACTTTTTAAATGGGACACCTTATATGCTTTTGCATATTCTTGTAGCTCATCTCAAGAGCTTTCCAAAACACTACAATTATGTTAGTTTTCATTAAATACTTTCCAAGTTATGAGGCTTGAAATCATTTTTTAATTTTACATAAACCGTAAAATATCTTGTAAAATATTCATTTTTCGATTATTTTACCTTAATACTTTTATGTACAAAATAATGAGAAGAATCAATTGGTGTAAAGAAAACACATAATTGCTTCGAACAAAAAAATGTAATTGTTAATTGCAAATTACATTTTTTTGTTCGAAGCAATTATGTGTTTTCTTTACACCAATTGATTCTTCTCATTATTTTGTACATAAAAGTATTAAGGTAAAATAATCGAAAAATGAATATTTTACAAGATATTTTACGGTTTATGTAAAATTAAAAAATGATTTCAAGCCTCATAACTTGGAAAGTATTTAATGAAAACTGACATAATTGTAGTGTTTTGGAAAGCTCTTGAGATGAGCTACAAGAATATGCAAAAGCATATAAGGTGTCCCATTTAAAAAGTTGGAGCTGACCTTCACGTGACCTTCGGATGGCTCTTCAAGATTAAACTAATGACACCATCATATGTCCCCCTTGAAACCATACAACTTTTGTCTGAACAATTTTTTTATATTCGGCTTACCAACGGAGTTATTCAGGTGGCCTGTTTTAGATGCCTCACCCTGTATATATATATATATATATATATATATATATATATATATATATATATACAGGGTGTCCCATTTTAATCCATCCAGTCGAATATCTCGAAAACTAAGCTCGGGAGAGAAAAATGTTTCAGACAAAAGTTGTTTGGTTTCGAGGAAGCCATAAGATGGTACCATTGGTTTGACTTTGAAGAGTCATTTGAAGGTCATGTGAAGGTCACCTCAATCTTTTTAAATGGCACCTTTTTTATTACATATTCTTGTAGCTGACCTCGAAAGCTTTCCAAAACGCTATAATAAAATATTTTTTCATAGAGTACTTTTCGAGTTATGAGGCTTGAAATCATTTCTTAATTTTACATAAACCGTAATATATCTAGTAAAATATTCATTTTTCGATTATCTTGCCTTAATACTTTTATGTACAAAATAATGAGAGAAATCAATTGGTATAAGAAAAAACACATAGTTGTTTCAAAGAAAAATGTAATTGTTAATTGCAAATTATACATATTTTTTCTTAAAAATAACTATGTGTTTTCTTTACACCAATCGATTTCTCACATTATTTTGTGCATAAAAGTATTAAGGTAAAATAATCGAAAAATGAATATTTCACTAGATATTTTATGATTTATGTAGAATTAAGAAATTATTCAAGCCTCATAACTCGAAAAATACTCAACAAAAAAATATTTTATTATAGTGTTTTGGAAAGCTCTCGAGGTCAGCTACAAGAATATCTAATAAAAAATAGGGGGTGCCATTTAAAAAAATTGAGGTGACCTTCACGTGACCTTCAAATGACTCTTCAAGATCAAACCAATAGTACTATCTTATGGCCCCCTCGAAACCAAACAACTTTTGTCTGAAACATTTTTCTCTCCTGGGTTTGGTTTTCGAGATATTCGACCGGATGGATTAAAATGGGACACCCTGTATATATATATATATATTTATATATATATTATATATATATATATATATATATATATATGTAATACCCTAATATAATATTAAAAACTAAAGACGTACTCTTAACTCACAATATTCTACAAATATATGTATTATTTATTCTTATTACATACTAGAAGACAATCTCATTTTACTATTGAAAAGTTAAAAAACCAGACATAAAAGTATTCTTACAATTTTAGTATATGTACTCTCATATATATATATATATATATATATATATATATATATATATATAGTATATAATACAATTTAACTAATTTGAATTACAAAAATCTTTATATTTTATGTACAATAGCAATCAGGTACATACAATTACGTTATATGCTGTTAGGAGGATATCCTGCATATTAGATCCTCCAAAGCAAAACAAGTCATAGTGATATCATAATGATATTGTTCTGCGACAATTAAATGTAATGAAATCACAACAGTCATGGAATAAATTAAATTTATTTTAAAAAACACACATATATATATATATATATATATACCTATATATATATATATATATATATATATATATATATATATATATATATATATATATACAGGGTTGGGAAGTAACGCGTTACTTGTAACGTCGTTACCGTTACAGTTACTTTTTTTGGTAACTGTAACGGTAACGACGTTACAAATTTCGTTTGTAACGAAAAAAGTAACTTCGTTACATTTTTTGGTAACGAGTAACGAATTTAACAGTTACTTTTATCGCTACTTTTTGCAAATTTACTGTGTAATTTTTATTCAAAGAAGTGTGTGGAATGCAGAATGACATGTACGCGTCATTGGGCACATGTGAAAGAAAAAGAAGTAAACAAAAGCTGCGTTCATCAATACTGGCAACGAATTTCGGAACATAGAATAACAGTCGAACGTGATTGACTCTTACTTTTAGAACCAAATCAACAAGTGTTGATAAGACAACGAGTAGTTGTTTTACTGAACGCATTGTATATAAAAATCAGGTTAGATTTTGTTTTGCTTTTCGAAGTCGGTAACTTCAAAGTCTTAAAACATTAATAATTGTGAAGTGTATAGATGTTTGTCTGAATTATAATGACGGAATTATATTTCTTAATGTTATGAGAAAAATCTCATCTTTGAGATTTTGTAACAACTTTTGTTTCTTATAATAGTGTGCAAGCATGTGCTCGCATAAGCTGCTTAGTTTGCCGGCATTATAGTCATTTTCCACATGCATATATTGATATTCAATCTCAAAAAGATATTTGTATCTTAATCTGAAGATTATAGTAAAAAATAAAAAATAATGGAAGAAGCAAGTACATCTCAATCTTCAAAGGAAATGGAATGTGAAATTCCATGGCCGGCATATTCTAAAGTTTTTCAATTTCGACCAAATCTTAGCAACGAAAAAAATTTTGCCTTTGCCTATAAATTTTGTGCAGGAGGAAAAATTAACCTGTAATATTTAATAAACCTATATTTAAAAAGTAACGAAAATTGTAACGACGCGTTATTTTTAAGTAACGGTAACGGTAACGAGTTACTTTTGAAAATTGGTAACGAGTAACGGTAACGAGTTACTTCTTAGAAAAAAGAACGGTAACGGTAACGAGTTACTTTTAAAAAGTAACTTTCCCAACCCTGTATATATATATATATATATATATATATATATATATATATATATATAATCATTTTGTTGTGTGTGTGTGTGTGTGTAAATTATCTCACAATAACATTTTATTTAATAACAAAAAGAGGTAAAGCTCTCTGTAAATTAAAATTTAAAGAGGTCCAATAGGCGTAGAGAGCTAAGTATCAATTAAAAATGTAGGTCAATAATCAGAAAGAAATATATATTAATAGTTCATAATACAAAAACAAAAAACAAAACTAATATAATATATATAAGAATAAAAGGTGTGTGCGGACGTTTCGACTTGTCTTCAAGTCATCTTCAGCGCAATTTAATTAACCAAGATTAGAGCATTTAGTAACACGGTTCGTAGAGACATAAAACGGTGATAATTAGAAACGGAAAGAATATAAATTAAATTCAAAAATAAATAAAAAATAATAAAAAACATTTTCAAAAAGGAGAAACAACTCCGATCGCAACGGTTGTACATATTCAGGCTTACAAAATTTAAAGGAGATGTATCTCCAAACGCCACGGTTGTACATGGTAGAGACGCAAACGGCTCCCAATTGTTCCCATAAGTGAAACCACTC